AAAAAGGAGAGTTACTCACATCCTTTTTCATTTAAGTTTTCATGGTTCATCGTTGCAATGTTTCATATGAAACCCAATCAGAAAGTGAAAAGAGGTCGGGCAGAATTGCGTACTCATCATGTAGCCATGTAGCCCTTCAGACCGAATAGAGATGTGTGTTGAAATTCTGTGGTGCACCGTTCACGATGCACCTACCTTATCCCATTTTCAATGGCCAACTTGTCTCTTGTTGTTCATAGTTGCGAGCAGCAATCCCATTCGTGCAAATTGACTATGGACCCTTCCACTGAAAATAATCCTGTACCGATGGGTGATCATAACCCATAGCTCCTGTATCACTAAATATTAAATAACTGTGTATTTCCATATACTTTTTGGGGGGGTTATGCTCCTGACAGGACATATGACCACACCCTGCCTATAATAGTCATTATTTATTCCTTTCTATTACCATGTAATGATTACTGCATCACACAGCAAAGCCCAAAACAGCAACGCGGCAAACCCCAGCCCTCCCAATTAACACAGACCCACACTCATGACACCGTCTGTCCACTCAGAAACTCAGACAATCCTGGACAAACTAGTTGGAACACCTTGTGGGAAGCGCGTTACAAAGATCCTCCTCTCCCCCATTCAATGTTACGTTCATTTATTGGACCAAGATTCGGCCCAACTTACCCAATGAGAAGCAACATTGACAGGGGGCAAGATGTATAGCAATGTCAACTTGGAATCAACACGCAGGGAAATAGCCGTTCACTTTACGGAACCCATAAGAATTGCCACCGTCAGAAATTGTACCCCAACCTCTTGAAGAGAAATACGCTGAGCCATTTTTTTCAAGTTCCCACGAAAGTCTTCACATTGCATTCTCAAAACAGCTAGGAATGCGTCATCTATAAGGTCCAAGTATGCTTCTTCCCGTACGTTTCTGTGCATTATGTCTACCTTCTTACAAGATCAAATAGCTGGTGAGCGGGCACTTAAACAGTGACGGTTTTGTTTGGATGCACGTTATTATTTTGACCAAGAGGATCCATATAGTTTGGTTTGAGGTACACAAGGCATGGACAAAGTGAAAGAACTAGAGATCATTTTGGACGGGGAGGCCACTGTACTTTCTCAGAATGATACAATTAAAAGTGGAGTAGTGCTGATGGTGGATGACGACAAAGGATACGGCTTGAAAGACGTTAAAGGTGAAAGATTGATCGATCGGCGCTGTGCGGTATATGGGACTCGAACAGCCATGCATTTTTTTTACGTAGGCTAGTGGGGTTTGTACATTATGTGTGCTGTCATGTCATATTCATGTATATGAGGTGGATTGCTGTGTGCAACTGCACGGGGTGAGGCTATGCAACGGTACATTCACATGTACTGTGTGTGTTCTCTGCTTCAGTGGCTAGCTTCTCAGCTGCGATGTCGGTCAGCTCTGGGCACACCCATTACGTCTTACTGCAAAACGATCGACTCACATGAAAAGGGCATCTAACCTCAGAGTTCAAGTTTAGTTGCATTGAAATACAGTCACAAAATATGTGCTTGTAGGTGTGATCACACAGGCATGACTGACGATATCCTTTGTTCTTTATAATAAATCTGTTAATAACCACATGT